TGTGGCCATACATGTTGTAAAATAACTTGATATGCAAATGAACCAGATCTCTTACACTCAGCAGCTGCTTCGGTAGCCTTCACTTTACCACTGAGAAATTCATGGGCATTTGACTGAAAATAAAGCCAAGAGTACGACTGGCGCAGGAGCAGTACCTCACTCCAAAATCCGGAAGATTCAGATTTGTCAACAGACCAAGGTTCCAGGATTGAAGCCAAAGACTAGAGCATGCTGCGGAGGGGCAATACCCTTCGGTAGTCCACATCCCAAAATTCACTAGTCTGGCTCAACCGGTGGCCTCAGCTCAAGAGAGGCGCTATGGAAAAGTAGGGGTGGAGGAGTGCCTGCAGGCTAGGACTGAGGAGCAGGGACAGAAGCTTGCATCGTCTCCACCTGCCATACTCACGGCACGCGAGCTGATTTTCAGTGGCACTCACACTGCCCGGGTCCTGGCCACCGCTCCGGGGGGCTCTGCATTTTAATTTAATTGCACGGCTACCACTCTGAAACCTATTATCTGAATCTCTTCCTTGTCTCCCAAGTATCTCACACTGCGGGAAAATGAAGGGACTGGATAATGCGGAGGTTCAGATAATAGAGCAGAGATCCCCAGTTAGAAGTGCGAGGAGGATGACCAAGCCCCCTGCCGGGCGGGCTCCTGCAGCAGTGCAGGGAGCCCTCTGTGGCCCCACTGACATGGGGCTGTGACAGCCGAGTTGCAGAGATCTCCCTGCACTGCAGCAGGGCCAGTGACACCTGATCCCTGTAAGCACAAGGTGCAGGGAAGGCTGTAGTCCTGGTGGGGAAGAGCAGAGTCCTGGCTGGAGGTCTTTGCTCAGTCCCACACCTTGCGCCTGCAGGGATGGGGTGTTACCAGTCCTGTGGCAACACAGGGAACCCTCTGCAGTCCTGCTGTGACGGAAGTGAGTGAGTGGGGCACAGCAGAGACCCTGGGCTAGGGTTCAGAGGAGTCAGTCATCGTTCCAGGCCACTCCACGGCTGAATGGCTCCTGTCCTCTCCATTTATCTGAATAAAATCCCAGTCCCCCATGCTACTCAGCTAATTGGGAGTATCCTGTACTATGGTTTTCAGTTGTACAACAGGCTGAAAGGATGGTTACAACTTATGTCGTGTACAAGGGGAAAGGGTGGTGAGTGGATTAAGATCATATCTTTGGTCCTGAATTAGGAAATGGGCCAACACTAATAGTGTACAATGTTCAGGACCCAGGCTAAACAAACAGAAAAACAGAAGTGCACCAACAGTGTCTTGAACTGACCCTCTCAGGAGAGTCCTGGGAATTGTTGACTGGCCAGAAGGAACAGGAGGCAGGAGAAAGCTGGCAGTTGTGTCCTGCCTGACGCACAAGGTGACTGCCAAGCAGAACATATGCATATGCCAATAGCGGAGATGGAGTAAAGCAAAGCTGATGCACAGCCATCTTCCTTGGATTGCAGACAGAGCTGTTTCAGGCTAAGATGTGAAATATTGCCCCATTTTATCTCTGTGGCTATTAGTTCTTAAACAGAATGATGACACAGAATCAGATATTCAAACGTAAGCTGTGCAACTGTGCATCTAGTTTTCAAAAGTCCACAATCATGAGGGTAATTACATGGGCAAAGGGTCAGCCAAAGGGCAGAAATAATAGTGGTCCTAGAAGTGCATTCTCCTCTCCCCCCCAGTGATGCTGAACATAGCATTGCTACAAGTTTTGTTACTACACAAGGGTCATAGCATATACTTGATCTTTATGCCCACCTCATTGGGAGATCCATTGTGGATCAAGGGGAATATATGACCCTAACTTTACACACTTGGGTCATGGACAATTAAAAATGTAATTTGGCCTTCTCCAAAAGGAGTTTTATGCCCTCTATCTATAAATAATATTTCAAGTATTCCCAAGTCAACGAGAATGATACATCAAAGTGACTTGGGACAAAAATGACTTACCATATATCAGCAAAGACCCAGCTAGGGGGGAGAAGTCCAATAAGCTGTTCAGAGGCTTCTAACTAGAAGCCAAGTCATGGAACAGAAGTTAGCTTTGTCTATGTTACCCGCCAGTGGTGTAAGCTATTATCAAGCATGCAAGAACATGGAGGGGAAGGGAAAAATCAAAAGCTGATGGCAAATACTCCTTTTGGGTGTTCACTTATGGACTATACACTCAACACCTGCATTACAAAGTCAAAGAGCAAACTCAGCAAGTAACTGGAGATAGTCAAGGTAAAAAAGTTGTTTTGGCAGAATTTCAGAGACTGGCCACAGGAATCACACTAACATACTATACAGGGATATGGACAGGTCAGACTCCAAACAGATTTGACTTCAGGTAACAAACAGTATTGGATTTTTACATTTTCTTGGATAAGGGCTAGACCAATATTGCAGTCAGTTACACCAAATTTAAACTCAAAAAGACCAGGACAAACCCTTTGCAAGATCCTTCCATTTACCTTCTACAAGCCCAAATGAAATTAAAGACTAGCCTTCACATATACTGAAAGAGCAGTAAGACGGCTTCTTGGCACAGCACATTTCAGAGGAAGAAGACAAGTTCAACAAGCTAGAGAAACTGTTTATAGAACAAACGCAGAAACAGCGTATGTGTTTAATAGCCCACGAATTGTCACGTTATTCATTACACAAACTAGTGAACTCTTATCCTTTCCTACCCATTTAACCATTAGTAGCAGACAAGCCCAACTGTCTGTCGCTGTCAGATGGGGAGCAGAAAGCAAAGTCCATTAGTAGCCCTTGGCTACCAAACAAAGATAGAAACCACACTTCATTTAGATAATAAGCAACCCTATTCACGTGTGACAAGCACTCAAACTAGTTTCCCAAAATATTTAACACAGCTGCCTAAAAATCCTTACTCCTCCCCACACCCCAAAAAACAACAACTTTCCTTGACAGACTAATTTGGGAGAAAAGCTACTGCACTATTAGAGGCCTAATGTTTCCTTCACTCGCTGCTGCTGACTTTTCACAAAGCTGATAAACACTCATTAAAATATAAATTGCTGTTACCAATGTTAAGTTGATAAACCCTGGGACTGTAATTACCTTTAACCCTCATGCAGAGATTGCCCAACTCGCTTATGTGATGTAACCAACACCCTAAATTAAAAATAGTGTTGTGACAACATATGGTTTATTCTACAGACGCTGGCAAGCAGGATGTTTCTAACAAACAGGTTAGAGTCCCAGCTTTTACCACCTACCTGCAAGGTGAAGACAGAAAAATGTGCACTGTACAAGAGCAAAGAAAAAAGGTATCTTTTTAATTAATTCTAGAGACATCCTAGTAAAAGATGTCCAGTGTTTCCATTTTTATTTATTTACGCAGTAGCTAGCGGGATGCAATTTGAGGAAACATCTCAACAGCCTTCCTGGAAATTTTGAAGATATCAAAATACAGCCTCAACGACGACAAAGAGAAAGAGAAAAGCCAGCTTCCTTCTCACCTATAGCAATCAACAGTCTGCTCTAGAGCATGGGGAACCCTTGTCTATGGTCAGCGCAAGGCATCTGCCTGCCTGGAAGGAGATGCTGATAAATCAGAGCTTTTAGCGAGAACAGCAGTAGCAATGATGGGGACAGGAGAAGGAAATTCCCCATTTTACCCAACCGTGTTAAATATTCACCAGTGAGTGAAAGCTGTCGCCTCTTCCTTCCTGGGAAGTGTTTCTCTTGAATGCTCCTACAGGGTGGAAGCTGGGCTCTTTCCAATTGAGGACAATCTGATTCACCCCTTCCTTATCACCCCATGATATGTAAGGATTAACTCCCCCTGAGTTGTTGTGGTGCTGAACCCCTCATTACAACATAGATCTCTGCCTCACTGGTGGGTGGGTGTGTGTGTGTGTGTGTGTGTGTAAAAATTCTGGGTATTTTCAGATTACACGGGTGAAGTTTCAAACTGATGGGTACAGCCCCCAGCCCAAACGAGGGAGGACGGGGTCTGAAAGTTCACAATATAAAACCCATCATTGGCTCTTGGCAGGGAGCCGAGGATTTGAACCCTTTCTGCATGGAGGTGACCCAAGCCCCACCACCCTGGATTTCTACTACATGGGGGAGAACCTGTCCCAGCAGCCCCCCTCCCCCCAAAACCACCACCAAAGGGGTGTGCAAGATGCCTCAATAACATTCTCTTTCTACTTGACCCTAGCTAAGCCCTATGCCAGGCCTGACACCAAGCCCAGTGCCCCCTGCCGCTCCTTACAGCATACAAGGGGGATCCAGGCCCCTGGCCAGGGAAGCTGGGGCAGATGCCCCATGGGCTGGGCTGGGGGGCACAGCCCCACAGAATACGTACCCTGGCAGGAATGGGTACCTCCTGGATCCCCCCATCCCGCTCCCCTTAGAGCAGGAACCTCATCAACACCAGCGCAGGACCAGGGAAGCAGCCCCCCAATCCCTGGGACTGGGGGGGGGGGGCACACTCTACCCTCACGTTGGAAGGGCCCTCACCTGTCCCCCCACTGCCTTCCCTGCCTGTGGGGAGAACGGGGTCAGATCCCTGAGACCCCGGGGGGGGGGGCTCTACATCACTCCACTGCCCCCCATGCCCAGGAGCCTGCCCCCCACGGCCGGCCCACCCAATCCCCAGCTGCACCCCCCCGGCCGCCTCCCCATACCCAGGAGTCCCCCCGGCCGGCCCCCCCATACCCAGCTGCGCCCCCCCGGCCGGCCCCCCAACCCCCAGCTGCGCCCCCCCAGCCGCCTCCCCATATCCAGGAGCCCCCCCAGCCGACCCCCCCAATCCCCAGCTGCACCCCCCCGGCCGGCCCCCACACACCCAGCTGCGCCCCCCGGCCGCCCCCTTATATCCAGGAGCCCCCCGGGGCGGCCCCCCCATATCCAGCTGCGCCCCCCCGACCGGCCCCCCCACATCCAGAGTCCCCCCCGGCCGGCCCCCCATACCAGGCTGTGCCCCCCAGACACCCCCCCATATATCCAGAGCCCCCGGCCGGCCCCGCGGTACCTTGCTGCCCTGGTAGCCCTCGAAGGCCCGCACCGCGCTGTCCGTCAGCTTGACGTGGAAGACGGAGACGCGGGTGCCCCGGCCGAGCCGCCCGCAGGACAACCCGTACCCGCGCTCCGCCTGCAGCGCCGCCATCTTGGGACCGTCTCCCCCTCGGCGCTGGGGCGGTCCGGGCCACCCGCCCTGTGACACGCCCCCTCCTGGATTATTCACCAGGCGATTCGCTGAGCCCCGCCCCGCCGGCCAGCCTGTTGCTGGGCTAAGAGGGGGCGAGTGGGCGGGCAAGCGCGCTCTGATTGGCCAGGCCGGTGAAGGCTGGCTTCCGATTGGTGGAAGGAAGGGAGAGGCGGGGGGTAGTCAAATAAAGGCCGCTGTACATTGTGGGTATTGTGGTCCTGAAGCCACCCTGAGCCATAGAGCAGTGGAGGAGAGGCCCCAGGGGCACCGGGGACTGGAGCAAGGCGAGCAATAGGGGTTTTCTGGGGCAGAGTATGCGCTGTAAGGAAACCTTCTCCCTGCGCGGTGGGGCACGTTATACACTGGGGGAGTGGGGGTGCAGCCTGTGAGGGGGAGGGTGGCAGAGTTGGGGTTCAGGCTGGAGTGTGGGGTGCTGGCACCACACAAGGGGAAGGGGCTCAGGGTCCAGGTTTGACCCCAAAACCACCCACTCTGCCGTTTGTAGCCCAGGCTCTGAGCGGGGGGGGGTTGATGTTTTCCCTGGCCACAATTACAGGGTCAGCAGTGTGGTTAAAGCAATACCCATTTACACCAGAGTCACTCCAAATAAAGTCCTACATCTTAACCCAGTAAGGGAAGGGGAATTCGCTGTACCCCTGTAAGGAACTTTTAATGGCATCCGTGTGAGGGGTTGTATTGGTGAAATACTCACCCCCCCATTATTGCAGTGCTACTGGGACAAACGCTGTGTAGCCCACATTGGTTGCAGTGATTTAGCTTCTGCCTGATGCAAGTCAAGCCGATCCAAGTGCCCACATGGCAAGTTGCACAGCGGTCAGTAGCTCGCTGTCCACTCCCCCCAGGAGCTAAGCCCGCGGGCCGCTCTCGGTGCAGTAGGCCTTGTCTACACAGGGCTGGCGAACGGAAGGGCGGTTATCCTCGTTGGACAGCTGGGAAAGTGACGGCTGGTGCAGTCTCTGGCAGGGGCCCAGCCAGTGTCTTAATGCCAGCACCAGCCCATCCCTTTAGTCCAACCATCTTCTCCTCTGCCCCCAGCAGCCCATGTAGAGTCCACTACAGCACAGGCTCCAGGATAGGGTCTAGGGCTTTAGGAACAGGCTCACGCACATGCTAAATGCTCCAGCCGTACGTTTAAATGCCCAGAGGAGTAGGGCCCACCTTTGTATAGTCTACTAAACGAATGCATGGGGTTGCTGCCACCAGAGACAGGGTGGGCTGGGGTCAGCTGGGGTCAGCCTGGAAAAACCTCGTCAGACCTAGCACTGCAAAGAGGCTGCAGTGTGTGCTGAGCCCTGGCCCGGGCTTCGTTAGCGGGCTCAGCTCTGTCGTGGAGCCGGGCAGCCACCAAGCGAGTCGCTGAAGGACGTGCTGCTAGCAGCCCTCTACGTGTCAAAGTCCCAAGCACCTGTGACTAAGCGCTGGGCGTTGTGGCGAGCACAGCGTACAGTGGAACAGCTGGTACAGTACCGGTGGTGGGTCCCTCTTGCTCCTGTGTTGGCCTCGCTTCCTTCCTCTGCGTGCGGGAGGTTTGTTCCTCCTCTGCCGAGGCAGTGAAGTGAAACTGGGGGAATGTTCATAGTTTCTGGCAGCTGCAGGTCATTGCTGCACCCTACCCCGCTCAGCCTCCATTGCCAGCTAGTCTCAGGGCTACGGCAGGGAACAGCTCTAAGGCTGGGATGAGGCTGGAGGATGTTGGGGTTCCCCAGCCCCCCAAGCACTTGTCAAGAAAGCTGGTGGTGTCATCTCTGGTACTTCTGTTGTTAGAAAAGAAGTTCCTCAAAATGCAAACGGGGCAGCCAGTGAGCCAGGCTGCACCTGCTGCCCTGGAGGGAATGAGCAGCATCTGGGACGCAGCCCACTGGCTCCCCCAGCTGGGTCTGGCCTCCTGAGCTCGTGCTACGCGGCGGGGTCATGGGGCAGAAAGCAGGCGCCTCTCCCCAAAGGAAACGCTGCATGTTGGTTTAGTTTAACATCTTGCTGTTTGAAATGCAGCGAACCTGTGAAATTCAGCATGGGCACCACCGGGCAGCAACCTCAGGAACAGCCCGTCTGGCCCTGAGCAAGGGGGTTAGAATGACCTGTGCACCTTCCAGAGCTCCTGGGAGGTTACTAAACAACATCAGCAACGGCCGCCCAGCCAAGCCACGTCTGTAGGTCTGCTCGGGCTGCCACCAGCAAGACGGGGTCTGCACCTTCACTGGAAACCAGGATGGAGTTTCAGTCTCCTGAGCAACTAAAAATAGCTCCAGACCCAGGAATCGGCCACAGTACCCTGAGCAGGGCGTCATGGGGTCTGTCCACACTGCAATTAAAAACCCACAACTGGCCTGTGCCAGCTCACTGGGGCTCGGGCTAAGGGGCTGTTTAATAGCGGTGTAGACATCCGGGCTTGGTCTGGAGCTGCAAGGTGGGAGGGTCCCGGAGCTCAAAATGTCTGCACCACAATTAAACTGCCCCTTAGCCTGAACCCCGGGAGCCCAAGTCAGCCGGCACAGGCCAGTCACGGGGGTCGAATTGCAGTGTAGACAGACCTTTGGAGGGCACCAAAACCGTAATCACAGCATCTCCAAGAGCCAGCAGCCAAGCATATGGTGAGGGGTTTCTGCCCCTTTCTTCCAGCTGTTGCCACGTCTCTTGCGCAGTGTCACATTAGTGTGCAGATGCCCTAGCCACTGCCCCAGACACACGTGGGCTCAGTCTTGGAACAACTGCGGGGCAGCAGCTTAGCACAGCCAGTGCTCACCCTTCTCCTTCCCCAGGTGCGTTCATCGCCCACAGGTGGGAACCGAGCAGCCATCTCAGTTCCCAGCTAACCCGTACCGAGGATGCGAGGTGGTCCAGGCTGCTGGGCTGGTTTTTAGAACCCAGGTTCAGCCACTCACAGATGAACGTGGCTCTTTAGGAGTTGCTCCAGGGGCCGGGGGATGTGCTTCCCACCCCTGTGGCATTCTCCCACAGCCCACGGCTAGAGGGGCAGGTCACAAACCTTGGCTGAACAGGGGAGATTGAGGCTGTTTTCTTGAGAACATTCTTTTCCAGTTCCTCCCAGCTTCCCCCTGCCCAGCGCTGGCCGGGAAGGGAAAGGCTGGGCTTGTCCCCTCCGCCTGCCAGCTGGCACCTTGGCCACTGGGCGCCCGGTGCTCTCACCTATGGCAGAGCGCGCTGGCATCCGCAGTATTTCAGCCACAAGGGAGCCAGTGTTTTTCTGGACCCGTCAGCAGGTCTGGGCCCGACGTGGCGCAGAGAACGCTGTGGTTCCTGTGGCGGATGGTCTCCCATTGGCAGCGGAGAAAGGGCCAGGGTCCGACCGAGCTCCACGCTGCCAACTCCCGTGGTGTCATGGCACATCTCGTGCTAGCTCCTGGGGTCCCAGAGGAGAGTCCCAGCTGCTTTCATTAAGAACACCAAGGAAGGGGCTTGTTCCAATGGGTCCAGAGAAAAGTTTGGTCACGGGACGCAGGTAATGGCCCAGCAGCTCAGAAAGCAGCAGGCAAAGGAAGAGCCCAACACTGACTCCCCTGCCCTGTTCCCATTGCAGTGCGCTCTGCCTGCCTTGCAGCAGACACCGCAGTGGGGCTGGCCTGTGAGTGGGGCTGCCAGATGTGGAGAGGCTTTCAGGGGTGCTGGGGGTGGGGAGGACTCACTCAGCAGCTCCCTCAAAGGGCATGGCCCATGTGGCACTCTCCTGTCAGGTGGGACCAGGGGGAGGGCCCCAAGAGACGGTGCAGGGCTGCAGAGCCACCTGGCCAGACACAAAGCTCTGCTCTGCAGACTGCAGGGCACAGGTGCCCATGGGCGGACAGAGGCTGGGGTGAATCGTGGCTCCGGTGCCCGGCAACCTGGCCTGTGGGTGGACTTGGTTTCCTTGCACAGCAGCTGAGAGTCCAGGGGTGGGGGGTGGGGGAAAGGGCTAAATACAGGGGCAAATACAGGGCCAGGTGCAAGAGTGTGACAGCAAATCAGAAATCCCCATCCCTGCCCTCTGGAAGGGGTATGTCGGGGGGGGGGGGCTGGATCCACCTGCGCAGGGCCCAGGGGTGGTTGCCCCAGCTGTAGAAGGAGGCTTTTCCCACCAGGCTGTGAGGTGCTGGACACGTCCTGCTCTCAGCGGTGCATGCCCATAGCCCAGCCCACAGCCCCGCCGGTGCAACCGGCCATTCTCCCGCAGCCCTGCGGTGCTGGGACCCTGAAGGCGTCTCCTGGGGAGGGCGGCCTGGCCCTGCCGCCTGACTGAAAGAGCCTGGGTCCTGGAGAAGGTGCCAGCAAGACAGGCCTGTTCCCCCATCTGTTCCCCCCCCACCCCCACCCAGGGGCTGGTTCTCTGCCAAAGGCTTCCCCTCCCCGAGTCTGAGCAGCGCTGTCCCTGCCTGTCCCACACATTCAGCAGCAGCGAGCGTAAACACAGCTTCAGCCCCCCATTGCAACCTGAGCAACAGCACCGACCGCTCCCCTCTGCCCCCGAGGGCCAGCTCATGGGCTGGGGGTGCTCACAGTGCTGATCATCGGGGGGCTCAGCCCCCCAGCCAGCTGTCCAGGGAAGCCAGCACAACCACCCTGCCCCTTATCAGCCACTGCCCAAGCACTGCTCAGAATCCCCCTCCCACTGCCTGGACCGTCTCTCCACGCTGGCCCCAGGCAGATCTCCAGCCAGCAAAGCCCCACAGGCAGCTCCCCTTACAGAAGAGGGGCTGGGTATTTCCTGAGCCCCAATTAAAGACAAGAGTTTTCCCCTTGGAAGATGACAGGCCATGGGGGGGGGGGGAGGGCTGAGGGGCAGGGAGGATGGGCTGAGAGGCAGGCAGGGGAGACCCCCCTGAAGGCGACAGCCTGGACCACACACTGCAAGTTGGATGCTTTCACAGCAAATGTATCGAGGACCAGCTGTGGCTCCTGGCCAGGGGAGGGTCTCTCCCCACCCCCACCCCCACCCCTCCCTGCTGGGCCAACAGAGAATCCAACAGGTCCCTCCTCTGGGCGGAACCAGCCCTAGGCCTGAACCAAGGGGGGCACGGATGGGCAGGGTAAATAATCACCCCCCCCCACCAGCTTGTGGCCACAGCTGCTGCCTCTGCCCCATTCACAGCCCCTAGTGCGAGGGCCAGGCGGTCACAGCCAGGTCTTGGTCCTGCCCCAGCAGGACAAACCCAGAGCACTGCGAATGGCCCTTGGGCTGCTGCTCTTGAGACCCTGGGCCCGACGGCAGGCACCGGGCTCTGATCCCAGATGTAGACTCCACCCCAGTTAATTCAACAGCTGCAGCAAACCACTCATCCCCCTGCCCCACACCTCGTGGGACGCTCCCTGCCTGAGGTGCCAGCGCTCTGCCCGCAGACAGGCCAGGAGTGGGGGCACCGGCAAGCCCACGCTGCAGTAACCAAAGCTTCAGCAAGAAGAGGAGCCGGCCGCCGGGCAAGGGCCCTTCAGGGAAGGGCTAAGAGAAGGGCCGAGGGCCAGGCCGCTGGCAGCTCAGCTCCATGCCCTGGGGAACTGGCCCATTCCCAAGGAAGCCCCTTGGCAGTCCCAGCCAAGGCAGGATGCTGCCACCAGGGAGCAGCTAAGGGAGAGCCCTCCTGTCCCCCAACCCCCCCTTTCCTAGGGACCATCCTGCAGGGTTACCACCGCTGACAGGGGCTTCGTTAGCCTCCCCGTGCTGCAGCTGGTGCTCCAGCTGCCCCTCAGCCACAGCTGGGACAGTGGCCAATCCCAGCACGCCCCGGTCGCTCCTCCTCTCAACAAGGGAAACCCAGGCACTGCAAACTGCCGCCCCCTCTCCCCCAGTCAGTGACAGAACCCAGCTCTCAAGCGCTGCTCTTCAGGGCAAAAGGAGACGCTCCTGCACGTCCCTTGCAGCAAAGCCGCTAGGTGAGGGAACAGCCCTCGGCGGGGCGTCCTCACAGGGTGCTCTAGGCACCCAGGGCCACAGGTGTTTGGGGCAGCACCTGGGTGGGCACAGAGGTAGTGCTAGGCAGACTAGGGTGCGCTGGAGGTCGGGGAGCTGCTCCAGGGGTCTTGGTTGCCTGCCAGGGAAATTCTTTTGATGTTCTCTGCCACCCCCGCCCCCAAGGGCCGAGACAGCCAGCAGTGCACCACAGCTATAGAGATCAGCCCAAGGACCCAGCAGCTCCCCCACCTGGCCCTTGCCTGGCACGGAAGAGGCCCAGCTCTGGAGGAGACACAATTGAGACTTGTCCGTTTATTGGGGGTTTTCACAGTTGATTGTGGGGGTGGGGGAATAGTACTTTGACTCCATAGAAGTGCAGCTGGTAGGACAGTGCGGGGGGACAGCAGACAGGGGCCCTGCTGCACAGTGGGGAGGGAGGCAGAGCAGCTGGGAAATCCAGGAGCAGGGCTGGACAGCGCTACAGGCCGAGGGGAAATACCCTCCCTAGGGGACCTGCAGAGAGATCAAAGCCCTGGGTGCCAGAAGGATGAAACGGACACGCAGACATTTTGCCCCTCCACCGTTCCTGCCACATGGCGTTTTGCTTCCCGGGGACAGCTCACGCTGCTGGGACTGTTCTTGGCCATGGCACACTGGACCCCAGCCTGTAGTGAAGAGGGCAGCGGGGTGTGCGTGAAGGCTGGGGGGCAGGGCACGCTCCAAGAGAGCCCCCCCTCGTCCCTGATGTATGAGCGAGAGCTCTGCTGGAGGGGCAGTGCTCTCCCGCCTGGCCCCACTTCCCAAGGGATCCAGGGACAGGGCCAAGGTGCCACCTCCCAGCACCCCGGGGAGCCTGTCGCAGAGCATGGTGGCTGCAGGGGCACTAGAAGCCTTTACAACAGGAAAACCAGCCCTCCCTAGCTTTGCTGCGACAGGCAGTCGAGGTCGTGTTACTGTGGCAAGTTGGGTTCATTTCACAATGGAACCCACGGGCACAGCTCCCAGCACCTAGGGGGATGGGTGCTGATTGCATGCCCTTCCCCACAGCCACATGGAGAGCATCCCCCACCATGGACCCCGGCTCTGCAGAACCAGAGTCATGACCACACAAGCCCTGCCTGCTCTACCCTCCCCCAGAAACAGCTGCATCCCTTAACAGATTGATTGTTTAGGGGAGCCCCTCCTTGCCTGACCATCAGAAGGGGGCAGATGGCACCGGAAGTTATTGCTCTGCTGGCACCAGGGCGCAGGTTCTGCCGGGGTAGGACGACGACGGACCAGCGGTCAGTGTGTGGAAATGCCGGGCTCTTCGTCCCACACTCAGAGGGCTCACCCGCCCTGGGCATCTCCCCCTGGCCTGCCAACCCTCCACCCACGCCCCGTCCTGCTGCAAAGGTGCCGCCGCAACGGCCGCTTGCCAGGCCCCTCGGGCAGAGCAGGTTGATTCTGTGATTTACAATCAGTGGGTAAGGGGGAAGGGAGCGATGCACAGAACCCCGGCGCCGCTCTGAGGGGAGGAAATCAGACAGTCCTCACCGGTGCAGGTCCCGAGGTGCCGGGGCAGCTGGTGGGGCAGACTGGGGCGTGGCACAGCTTCTTGGGCCTCTCCGCAGACGACACTAGTTCCTTGCGGCTATGACAACGGACAAGGCCACGCCACCGAGCGCGACAGCTGTTGCGCCGAAGAGCCACTTCCAGGGAATAGACTGGAGGGGAAGGAAAGAGCCCACGAATGTTAGAGGAGAGCCAGCCGGGGGGGCTCGAGGGTCAGGCCGCCCTTGACAGGGAATTGGTTAGAACCCCGCTGGCTCTGGGGCCAGAAAGCAGGCTGGAAGGAGCAGGAGGGATCAGTCCTGTGCCTGTCACATGGGAGGGTCGGGAACCCCAATCCTAAGTTGGGGTGCAGGGAGGTTCCCTGCCCCAGGAGCATTTGGGCAGCCTGTGCTCAGCAGAGCAGGGGAGGGGGCTCCCTCTATCTGGCCAGGGTGGTGCCATCAGGTGGACCGATGGCGTTGCAGCTCTCTGGGCTGCCGGCTCGGGGGGCCATGCCTCAGCCCCACCTGCAGCCTGCCCCCTCACGACCAGCCACAGCAAGCAGGCACCTCTGCCCTCTCCACCACGGATCCCTCCAGGTGGCAGCTCCAGACTCAGCTCAGAGCCTGGCACACAACAGCAGTTTCCCTAGCACGTGCTGGCTCTGTGCTGACTAGGAGAGCCCCAGCAGGGCTCTCGCACTCTGCAGCCTGCTCTGCCAGCACATGGGGGCACAGGCAGTGACCCACAGCCCAGAGCTCACGCACTCTGCAGCCTGCTCTGCCAGCACGTGGGGGCACAGGCAGCGGCAGCCAGAACACAGCGAGTGTGGAACCACTCTGGGAGCCGGGAAAGATCTCAGAGGCCCCAGAACGTTGTCGCTGCTTTCCCGGGCTCCTTCCCACCCCCGCATCCTCCACCACTCACCCGGGGCGACTTGTCTTTGCACGGTGCAGGGGTGCTGCTGGTGCTGGCGTTCCCCAGCATCTTCCTGTACATCGCGGTCTCTACGTTCTTCTGCTCCGCGTGTTTCTTCACCAACTTGGAGAGCTCTGCATGGATAGTCTGGGAGCAAGACAGCCAGGCATACATGAGATGCCAGCCCCACTTCCCCTCTCCAGCCAGCTCCCAGCGCGCTCCGCAGACGGGGGCAGAGAGGAAAGAGCAACACGACAGCCCTGCGAGGACACAGAGCCAGCAGCCCCTCGGAGCCGGGCTCCGCCGAACTGGGCGTCCGAGGCTGCACAAAGGAGCTCAGACACCAAGGCTGCTCCACCCCACTGGGCAGCAGAAGCCATGTGTGCCCAGGCCGCCTCTCCCCACTACCACCTAGCCCCCACTTGGAGCCAGGGCAGCACACCCGGGCAGGCCAAGCCTCTGCCCGGGAGAGCAGGCAGACGTGCCAAGCAAGCAGCTCAGAACAAGGACTCCTGAGTACGGGTCCTCGCTGTACAGCCAGACACTTCACTTCTGTGCCTCAGTTTCCCACCTTTGAGAGCCGCACGAGTGGGCAACAGGGCCTTGTATTTGCTCCAGCCCTCTAGAGCAGGGGTTCTCAAACTGGGGGGTCGGGACCCCCCAGGGGGTCACAAGATCATTAGAGGGGGGTCGTGAGCTGTGAACCTCCACCCCAAACCCCGTTTGCCTCCAACATTTATAATGGTGTTAAATATATTAAACAGTGTGTTTAACTTATTGGGGGGGGAGGGTCACACTCAGAGGCTTGCGATGTGAAAAGGGTCGCCAATAAGAAAGTTTGAGACCCGCTGCTCTAGAGGGCGAGATGCACCCTAGTGGTGGGTAACGAAGCCACACCTCTGCAGCTGGTCTGCCGGAGCCCCACCCTGGGGCAAAATCCTGTTACAATTCCCCACCACCACCAAATCAGATCCTGCCCCGAGCACATGGCTCAGCCTGGCTCCATCAGCCGCAGCAGGCCCATCACAACCACTGGGGCCGGTTCCTCAGCGTGCCAGGAAAGGGCTGCTTGCCCTGCCTGGCTGGGGCTGCTGGTCATCCCCAGCAGAGGGGGGAACTCCAGCAAGGGCAGGACAACAGGAGGCCCCAGGCAAAGCAGGTCCATGGCTTCCAGCCTCTTCCAGGGTGGAGCTGCAGCCAGTGCCACAGCTGTTATGCTAGGAGACTGCCGTCAGGCTCAGGCCTGGGCTCCTGGCAGGTGCTGGGCATGGCGGCCTAGCCAGGCTGCTCCCAGGTCCCACTATTTTCTGTGCCCCCAGCCCCGAGAGTCACAGACACCCGGCTCAGGAGGAGGGGAAAACAGCCCAGGCTTGGAGTAAACACATCTAGGAGACACGTGAATCAGCATCAAGCGGGAGCGGAGCAGAGGCCAGCCCACCTCAGCCACAGAAGGTGCACTGCAGCATGGGGCTTTACGGGGAAGCGGGAGTGAAGGGAAGAGCGAGATAGACGGACGGACACACCACAACCCCGTCCCCCAACAGCTCTGAAGAGATGTAACGGACTTCAGATTCCATCTTTCCTGGAAGCTGAACCTGCCTCTGCTCACCGGGTAACAGGGCCCGTCGGAAGGGGACTTTAGCTGGGTGAGGGGCCAAAGGCCACTTCACAGGAAGCGGTGCCGTGTGCTGATTGGGAAAGGACTTTTTTTGGTTGTAAAGGAGACTAAAACTCTGCCCAGGAAACCAACAAGGGCAGAGATGCAGCAGTGTTTGTTCGGATTCCCACCGGAGAGAGGGGACAGGGAGGCGAGGGTCAGTAAAGATCAGCCGGAAGTTGGACTCTAGCAGGATCTGTCAAGCCCCTGCCAGTCTCTTTAGCATAGTCACCCAGCTGCTCTAAGAAGCAGTGACAAAATGTAGTGGGATTCTGCGACTGAAATCCGCTCCCTCCTGACCTGCGTCCCTGTGAGCACCAGGAAGTTCAGCTGGAAAGCCCCGAGGTTTCACAAGAGGCGCGGGCTAGTCCCTGCGCCGCCTGGAACCGAGCTCACTGCCAATGCTGCCCTGCAGTCCTACCCTCTTAGAATTGAACTAGGTTCATACAAGACAGGTTCGAGATCCATTTAGGGGCATTTTCCCAGCACCCTGGGCGGTGAGAGGTCACTGTCTTAGCCCCACTCTCTGGGATACAGCAGTAATAGCCCCTGCCCCACGGGCCGAAGATTCCTAGTAGCCACTAGCCAGCTCCCAAAGCCCACATCAGAAGAACCAGAACAGAGCCGAGTGCGGACAGACACGAACCCAGGGCCTGGAGAGAGTCAGCTATTCGGCTTCTGGCCTTTGCCACTTGTGTAGTGGGACTGCGCCCTCTGCTGTGGGAAGCTGGATACTTGTCTCTTCACAGCGGGCAATCCCACGAAGTGGCTTTGTAAAGGCACACAGGCATGGTGAAGAGTTACCTAAAGGAGCCAAGTACCTGGACGTCTGTTATTTATCCTGGGTGTTTCTAAGACTCAGCTAATTTAAAGGATCCAAGTTTGCTGGTTCCCCACTGATGGGCTCTCCCCACGACTTCTCTCCTTTGGAGCAATGAGAAGTCAGGGCCGTCGCGCTCTGGTTCCTGTACGCTAGCCGAGCACTGCAGGGGAAGGGCTCTTCCTTTACAAGCTATGCAGCATTTCCAGTTTGTGCCTTTCATGAAGAGAGCTTTAGGCTCTGGAAAGAGGAGCCTTTCCAAAACCAGCCTTTCGGGCCAAATTTAATCCGACCGTTTCCAAAGTAATAAAAGCCAGTGGCGCCCGAGAGAAGACTGGATTCCGGACGGTGTATTTTTAAGATGCTTTTGAGAGTGAAATGCAACAAGTTAGTCCAGTGATTGCTTCTTGTCTGCCAGGTTGGTCCTGTTGGGAGGGGGTCACGTCCAATGGCTTTCATGAGAGTTGCGAGCCCATGAGGAATTCTTGGGTGCAGCAAGACCTCTCCAGAGCAGAACCTGCCCCCGTGGGGGAAGGAATTAGCCAGCGCCCCCTTTTCCCCTACTCGATTTGAAGAGTTAGAATCTGGCACCTCCACATAGAGGGTGGGAAGAGAAATGCTCAATATTGTGGTGTGCTTGGCTTGCACCCGGTGAAAGGCGCTTGACCGACAGCTGGGGGAACGGAATGATCAGACCCAGATGAACATGATTTGTTGGGGGGAGAGTCAACATGGCTTTTGTAAAGGGAAATCCTACCTCACCAATCCATTAGAATTCTTTAACGGGGTCACCATAAGCATGTGGACAAGGGTGATCCAGTGGCGACAGACTATTTGGACTTTCCAAAAGCTTTTGACAAGGTCCCTCACTAAAGGCTCTTAAGCAAAGTAAGCTGTCCTGGGGTAAGAGGGAAGGTCCTCTCATGAATTGGTAACTGGTTAAAAGTCAGGAAACACAGGGTAGGAATAAATGATCAGAGTTTTCAGAATGGAGAGAGGTAAATAGAGTCCCCCCAGGGTCTGTACTGGGCCCAGTCCTGGTCAACATATTCATAAATGATCTGGGAAAAGAGGTCTGGCAAAGTCTGCAGATGATACAAAATTACTCAAGACAGTTAAGTTCAAAGCTGACTGTGAAGAGCTACAAAGGGATCTCACAAAACTGGGTGACTGGGCAACAAGATGGCAGGTGAAATTCAATGTTGATAAACGCAAAGTAATGCACATTGGAAAACATAACCCCAACTATACACACAGAATGATGGGATCTAAATTAGCTGTTACCACACTAGAAAGATCTTGGGAGTCATTGTGGATAGTTCTCTAAAAATACCCGCTCAATGTGCAGCAGCAGTCAAAAAAGCAAACAGTGTTATGAACCGTTAGGAAAGGGATAGATAAGGCAAAAGAAAATATAACAGCACTGTACAGATACATTGTATGTCCACAACTTGAGTACAGTTGAATGCAGTTCTGGTCACACCATCTCAAAAAAGATGCATTAGAACTGGAAAAAGTGCAGAGAAGGGCAAGAAAAATGATTGGGGGATAGAACGGCTTCCGTGTGAGGAGAGAGTAAAAAGGCTAGGTCTGTTCAGTGAGAAAAGAGACAACCGGGGGGGCGGGGGGGGAGATGATAAATGGTTATAAAATCATGACTTGGTGTGGAGCAAGTGACTAGGGAAGTGTTTTTTACCCTTCCCATAACACAAGAACCAGGGGTCACCCAATGAAATGAATAGGCAGCAGATTTAAAACAAACACAACACACCACACAGTCACCCTGGGGAACTCATTGCCAGGGGATGTTGTGAAGGGCAAAAGTATAACCGGGTTCAAAAAAGAATGAGCGGAGTTGCTGGAGGACAGGTACCTCACTGGCTAGGCAACCCCATGCTCTGGGGGTCCCCGAACCTCTGACTGCCGGAGGCTGGGACTGGACGAGGGGGTGGGTCACTCGATAATCCCCCTGTTCTGTTCATTCCCTCTGGGGCACCTGGCATTGGCCACTGTGGGAAGACAGGACACTGGGCTAGACGGACCATGGGTCTGACCCAGTGTGGGTCACGTTCAGACTGCTATAAGCCACAGAGCAGGCAAAGCTACATTCTGCAGCTCATGAAAAACAAGTCCTAGGCAGCACACTGTGAGCTAGCGAACATCGCTGCCCTCCAGACCCCTGCAGCCTTCGCTTCTGGGAAATCCGACAGCCCAAAGGACTGGCCAGGTCTCTGCTGGACAAGCAGCCCCTGCTGACATTCCTGATGTGCAGGAGATGCCTCGGGGAGAGCTGGGATCGCGGCTGACAGCATCGCTTGCGTGCCATCACACTGGCTATCCCAGCCCCCAACTGGGCCAGCTGGTCTTTGGCCTCGTCCCGATGAGGAAAAGGCGCGTTCTCCCCTCAAGCTACTGCAAACCCAGTAACACCCGACGGAGACAAGGCAGTTTGCTGCTTTCGCACAAGTGAAACACTAGGCTCGGCTGTCCGTCTCCATTGGCCCCGGCTTGGCTTTGACGCCATTCGTGGTATGGACAGATTAGGGCAGAAGGAGGAATTCAGCGACATGGCCGGCACATCACAGGGTGCGGTAAGGTCACAGTGAGACAGGCTGAGCAGCCAGCCCGCCCATCTGAAGGGCCTAGCTAGAAATCAAACCGGGTGGTGCCTGACCTGCAAGGAGGCCAAATCCTTTTGGGACTTGCCTGGATGAAGAGGAGGAGTTAACACCACCTCTCTTCCTAGCAGAGATGCCCCCTTTTACACTGTAGGCTCTTTGGGGCAGGGACTGTCATTCACTAAGTTTGTACAGCCCCTAGCACAATGGGCCCATCTTATCTGTGGCCTTTAGGTGCCACAGGGATATAAAGTCTAACACCTCTGCAGTGAAATGCCCACTGAGATGCTTTTTCATAGTCAGGGGCACTCACTGACCGACAGGGAGAGCTCATCCCCAGAGCAAAGCCCTGCTCCGCTCTCTGCCCGGACACATGGAGTGTGTGTGTATTCTGCCCTGGTCCACAATCCTCACTGTCATCCTGGGTATTTCCAGGGTGCCTCAGGGCTTCCACTCCTGCAGCAGGAAATTCCCCACCCAGAGCTCATCCCGGCCCACGTGCTGAACTGGAGTCTAGCTCTTTGGGGCTGCTCCCAGGGCAGCGTCAGTCATGCCCTGCAGTGCCAAGCAAGGAGCCAGGGCTTGGTTCCCGCCCCACCTCCTGCAATGATGGCCCAAGACGCTGGAAGTTGCTGGGCTGGGACCCATTTTTAACAAAGGACGGGCTGGAGGGCGCCCTGCCTCCATGGGGCTCGATTCTGGGGGCAAAGGAGGAAGGGGAAAAAGCAGAGACCCAGTAGATCCGTTTTCCCATCCGTAGCCAGAGCAGGTTCAGTCCCTACACTAGGCAGTGTGAACACATGCCACCTGGTGCCATTGCAATCTGAGCCCCCAGGAGACACTGCCTGCCTCGCACGGGCCAGCAGCGCAGCGTTGACCTGCTCCCGAGGGTGCCCGCCAGTCGGCCTCCCCACGCCGGGATGGCTGGCAACAAGAACCCAGCGTCTCCACGAAGCAATGCCACACAACCAGGAGCCTGGCGGCTCCAGCGGGGTAAAGCCTCAGCTGGTCGCTCGCTTCCATCCCAGCAGGAAGAGGAACCCGCTAGCCAAGCCCAATGCGGCAGCAGCCCAGCCGGCAGCGGACACAGCAGCTTACCTTGTTCGATGGCTCCAGCTTCAAAGCTGCTTTGAGGAGGGGTATGGCCTCGCTGTACTCGCCCTGCTGTGCCAGCACCTGGAAGACAAGCCACAAAGCTGAGCAAAGAGGCCCTGGCCAGCCCCCAGTGGACAGGCTCCCACCCAGGCCGCAAGAGGCCAGGGTCTCCATCCGACGCTCCCACTGCCAAAGGGAGGGGGCCCCGCGCAGCACAGAGCCCCACCCTTACCTTCCCCTTGCGGAAGAGGGCCTTGATGTTCTCCGGCTGGTGCTCCAGGACTTGGGTGCAGGATCTCAGGGCAGCCTCATAATGGTCCAGCTTGAGCTGAGAGGCTGCCAGGTTGTTGAGACATTTCACCTTCACCTCCAGCAGCTCGGCCTCCTCCTCCGGGCTGAAGTCGACTGCGGAGATCCCAGAGCTGAGTTACACCTGCAGCACGGCTGCTTTCCAACCCTGGTCGAGCTCCCTTCGTTCTGCATTGCAGGGAACCCGCCTCCCTATCCCGCAAGCCATGGAGGTGTCTAGATCTCACCTGGGCCACCCACAGCCCGGGAGGGTTATCCCTGTGGGCTGCTGCTGGGCTCTGGGCAGGGCAGAAAGGAGCCAGCGTCTGCCCCAAGGGGCTCACAGCCACGGACAGACCAACAGAGGGTGCCCGTGGAGACCCGGCTCTCAGAACCGTGTTGCTATGGCTGCCCGCGGGGGACGCTGGGTGAGGAGCAGGTGTGTGCAATGGAGGAAGTAGGCTGTAAAGCCACCAAACGCTGCTTTCCAAAACATCTCCCCCTGGCACTGCAGAAGGGCCCCAGGCAAGGAGGCATCTTAGAGGGCAACAGCTCCCGAGAGACACAGGCTGCCAGGAGACCCAGCTCCCGGGCGGGGGACTCCCCAGCTCAGGCGAGGAGATGCTGTTCGACGAGCAGCGTGTCCCAGAGGGGCCAGCGTCACACACGAGGATGAGGAGGGCTGAGCCCGAGGGTCGGGTGGCGGAGACGCCTCAGACTGCAGTAACTCCACTTCCCAGAGCCCCGCTGCGCGGGCAGGACTGGCTGACCCCAGGGCAGGGCAGGTACCTTTGGAGCTGGAGTCGATGGTCTTCAGGGCGATGTCGTAGGAGTTGATGGCCAGCACGTAGTCTGCCTGCTGGTAGTAGAAGTTCCCGCGCTCCCGCTTGCGATTGGCCAGCTGGATTTTCTCTCTCCCACGGAGGAGCTCCAGGTCAGGAGCGTCCTGCACGGCCAGCAGCTGCACTTCCAGGGTGAGGGCTGCGTGGGGCGGGATGTCGGGGCTCCTGCTCACATGATGGAGGAGACGCGATGGCACCTCTCGCAGGAGGAGGAACGGGCCCAGCCCAGGCTGCGGTGGCTCTGGGGCAAGCAACACTATCGCTCTGCATCAGAGCTGCCCCCCGAACACCCACGGGCTGCCGAGGAGCCATGCCGATTCAGTGCTGGGGAAAGGGGCAGCCCGAAGACGGACACGCGTGGAGGCAGCCAGACCAGGGAGGGCAGCAGAACAGACCCTGTTGCCAGCTATGGCTCATTCCTGCCCTGGAGAAATCCCACCCCTCCCCGATGGGCAATGGGGCCCACTGACGCCTGGACTTATCTACTGGGACTGTGGCTGGGGGGTGAACTGCGCTGGGGACACGTCGATGAGGAACCGTAATGAGACCAACACCTCCTCTCACTCTCCCCACGGCAGAGACTCCAGCCTTTGGCCTCGCTGCTGCAGGCCAGGCCTCCTCTCCAAGGATCTCCCCCCCACCCCCACTCTCTTTGGTCCTGCTGTGGTTACCCTCCCGGCCCGGTCCCAGGACCCCACTCACCTGCCCTGCGGGCCGTAGCAGTACTTGGCATCCGACATGATCGAGGCAGTTTCTCCCATTTCCATCAGCTGCACACACAGGTCTAGGGCCTGCAGGGACCCAGAGTTCAGAGGGAGGTCAGCAGAGGGCCCTCTCTGCTCGGGAGCGCGTGGTCATGGATTCAAATCCCACAGCCAGACTTGGGCTTCTCCCCAGCGGGCAAAGGGGCTGTACTGCTGGACAGGCCATTAAACCAGCACAGGAGCAGCTCAGCATGCCGGCCGGCTGCCAGGCAAACCAGAGTGAGCACGGCACAATCCAGGGACAGAGCGGGGCAGGGCAAGAGGGCATCAGCCTGTAGGTCCCAGAATTGGGTCTCTGCGCAGAGCACCGGGTGAATCAGCCAACGCGACCAGGTGCCTTCGAGCAAGGCAGGGAGCCCCGCTGCCCAGCCGGGCGAAGGAAGCACTCACATGGCTCCCGTGGGTCGCCAGGGGGACACGCTCCCTCCCTCATCTCCTCTCTCGCCCCAAGTTCTTAGAGAATAAAGCCAGCTGCCAAATCCACAGAGATACACGGCAGCTGGGCGTAAGATAGACAGCCTCTGCTTCAGGGCATAGATATCCCCTTTGGGGATAAAGAAGAAATTGCCTGGGCCCCTCCTCCCCTACATTGCCCCATATACAGCATTCCTCAGTTAGCCAGGTGCATTACAAAGGAAGGAGAGCTCTCCCTGGAGCACCAGGTGTCTGCAGTCACTCGGGGCAGGCAGGATAACGGGACCAGAGGAAGCAGCAGTCTGACCCACACCGGGCCCTCCCACCTGAACATTCCCAGGTCAACGAACCAGGCTTTGCACGCAGGCTGGGCTCCACCAGGCAGGTCAGTGCTGTGCAGACTCTTCTCCGCCCCAAACACCTCCAGCTCCGGAGCACACAGGCCTCAGCCACTGCGCACCTACCTGCATGACGTCGCAGTCTCCCAGGGTGAAGGAGAGGCTGGGACTGTCCTCCACGACGCTGCCATCCTCCAGCATCGCCTTGAGTCGGACGGTGACATCCTGGCCTTTGCGCGGCCGGCTCGCCACGCCTTGACCTGGCACCAGGGTCGTCTTCTTGAGTAAGCCACTCCCTGGGCAGACAGATGGGAGCCAGAAGCACGTCACAACCAGCGGGAGAGAGAAAGGCGGTCTTGGCTCATGCCGCCCATGTCCACTTGGGTTTAAAGTAGGAAGGGAGGCAGCCAAGTTGGCACATCCCCACTAGGGGGCTGATGCCGGGCTCAGAGCTGGCCACGCAGCCACTGCTCCCGTGGCTCATGTTGACAAGAACATGGTGGCCCTGAAGAGCCACTGGATTCACAGCCTTGGGGAACGAAGGCTCCTGGATACAGACACCAAGGAGGGAGAGCAGGACAAAGCAAACTCACCCCCAGCAACTACCACCAACCTGTTGCTATCCTGCCAGGGAGGGATGGGGCTAGAGACAAGAGTGAGGGTTCATGCTCCATGGCCTCTCTGCTGAGACATTAGCCGGGGGATCCCCTGAGGAGCTGCCACTTACCTCTCGGGGGCGGGGGCTGCGTCTCGCTCAGCATTTTGTAGGTTCCAAGGCCGGAAAGGACCGTTGTGACCAGCTAGTCTGAACTCCCAGAGACCTGCCCCCTGTTCATTCTAGAGCAGCTCTTTGTATTTAACCATCGGGACGATTTACCAAGGGTCACGGGGGAGTCTCCATCACTGGCCGTTTTTAAATCAAGACTGGATGTTTCTCTAACCAATCTGCCCTAGGGATTATTGTGGGCAGGTCTCTGGCCTGCGCTCTGCAGGGGGTCAGACCAGATGATCACAATGGTCCCTTCTGGCTTTAGGATCTATGAATCTTTGGGAAAATCATCCAAGCTTGATTTTAAAATCACCAGCGATCGAGAACCCACCTCGCCCTTTGGTAAATGAGTTAACGACTCTCACTGTTGAAAATATACAGCTTATTTCCAGTCTGAATTGGTCTGGCTTCAACTTCCAGCCCTTCGGTTGCGTTACATCGTCCCCTGGTCTGCTACGCCGAAGAGCCCATCATCAGATCTCTGTTTCCCAGGTAGGGACTTACAGACAGACCAAGTCTTTCCTTAACCTCTTTGTCACACCAAACAGACCGAACTCCCAAGTCCCTCCCGGAGGGGCACGTCATCAAATCCTTTCATCAGCCTCGTGGCTTTTCTCTCAAAGCCCGCCAGTGTATGAACATCCTTCTTGAACTGTGGGCACCACCGCTGGACACAGGATTCCAGCCGTGGTCGCACCAGTGCCATAACACCTCTGTGCCCACTCGCCATCCCCCTGTTTGTGCTTCCCAGAATGGCATTAGCCCTTTTGGCCACAGCATCTCAGTGGGTGCTCTCGTTCAGTGGATTAGCCACCACAGTCCCCAGATCTTCTTGGGAAGCACGAGCACGCTCTGAATGCTGCAGTGATCCAAGCCAACAACCTACATGCTGCTGGGGGCTGGGCCGAGACCTCTCCTGAATGAACGCACACCTGATTCACAGGAGGCTGTGACTGCCGACACCTGACCTGGGTACAGACAGGTGGCCCAGAGGCCACAGGCTCCATAGCGAGGCATCTGCCACACCTTCGGGCCCCCTTTCCCACACCACTACAGCATCTCCTGAGCTGCTGCCGGGGGCACATGGGAGCCCTGACTTCAGCCTGCTTGCCCTCACTGGGAGGCAGGGAGAAGGGGAAGGGCTTACGACAACAGGAAACAGCAAGGCATCATCCTACACAGGATCTTACCCAAGACATCAAGCCACTCCTCAGCTGCCTGGGGCATGTTGGAGGCCTCCTCTGGGGCTTGCTCTGACCCGGGCGCCTGGGTGTCATCTCTGGCTGGTGGGGTCCTTCCCGTCCCTATGTCCTCCAAAGGGGGGAGTTCACTCAAGTCGTCGTCGTCGTCCTCATCGAGGACTTCGAAGTCCTCCCCACTGTCCAGCATGGAGGTGCTGGCCTTGGCGAGGCCTGGCGAGCTGAGATCGATGCTGGTGTCAGCCCAGTCAGGGGAGCCATCAGCCGGACCCTCCCCTCCAGAAGCCATGGCAGAGAGGTGAGGCAAGGATCAAACTAACTAGGAAGTAAAGACAGAAGAGGATGTTTTGTTTGGGGGTTTTTCCCCGGGGGGAGATTAAGAGGAGCTGTAGTTTGAGATTCAAGAGCTACCTTGAAATGGGGCCTTAGAACCCAGCTCCCGCCTCCCCACAGCCCAGCAGCCCCCGGGGAAGTCGGCACTCACACGCTGATAAGCAGCGATCATCACTCAGCCACAGCCAGGGTCCGGGACCCTGAGCTACCACCACAGGGTTTGCAAATCGGACAGAACCAAAGCACCTGAAATTGCTACTCCCTCACTGCAGCCCCGTGGGCACGTCTGCCCGTTGCTCCCCAGCCCCCATCCAGGCTGGTGCCTGAACTCTGGGTGCACACTGACCCGCTATGTTGTAGTTTGCAGCTGCCTCTGGTCTTTGCCATGAGCTTTGCAGGGCTTCTCCCCTGGCTCTCAAAGCCAGAAGCCCGGCATGACAGAGTTAATCTGAAGCCGATCCCCGGATCGCTGCCACCACACGTTTCCCTAACTTGTTTCCATTTATAGCAAGACCTAGGACCTGGGCTCCGCTGGGAGACGGAGCCGAACGTGGCGCAGCATGGGAAGCCATCAAGCTCACAGGCAGCAAAGAGCCTAACTGGCAGAGGGAAATATTTCCCAGCTCCAGATCCCACAGCAGGGCGGGTGGCAGGCGAGCCTCTCACCAGGGTCTTAGAAAGGCCTGGCTGCCAAACACCCGGCAGCGGAGATTACCCTGGTGCTGGAGGAACAGGGGCGGCTGGTACCTCCGGGCTGGGCTGCACACTCAGGCAGGCTCTTGGTCTTCAGTCAAGGAGACAGTTCCAGAAGGCCAGCCATTCGGAGAGAGGCTTCATTGCTCTTTTCCAAGGGTATCTTAAAATAAAATCAATCAATCCAATCAATCAATCAAGCTTGAGGAGTCTCTTGCAGAGTCTGAAATCCCCATCCAGCCCCTGTTTGGGGACAGCTGGACCCAATACCACAGCCACCCATACACTGGGCTGCTTTAGAGCCAAGTATTACAAAAAAATCCCTGGGAAGAGGCGAGCGAATGATGCCACCAGGAGTCCAAGGGCAGACAGATTATGTCAACCCAGCTTCCCAGCCTGGCTTCACACTCAGAGGGTGGAGGACAAGCCAAGGCCTCAAAGAGAAACAACAGGAACCTTGTCGCCACCGCAGAGCCCACTGCTGCTCTGGGTACGGCAGAGAGCACTCCCAGCACCAAGGGAAGCTTGTTCACAGCAAGAGCTCGGTCTGCAGGCAAACGCCATTCACTGGGAGCTGTTTATTACAAGCAAAGCGCCACAAGCAGCACGCTGAGGAAAAGGCACCTGCCGCTAACAGATCAGCTCCCAGCCAGGGCAGGAGAAGGGCCAGGCACCCCCCTGCGCTGGGGCAGGCAGCTCGCAGACGGAACAGGAACGCCCTGGCTGGCGTCAGACACCATGCGAACCCAGCTCCACAGAGGCTAGATGAGAGCAGAGTGCCCATCAACCTGGGCGGAGCAGGAGATGAACATGTAAGAGAACAGGTTTGGGATGGACAGGAAGAGACTGGTCTGGTGACAGCTGATGAAGATCAGGTGCCTTGGCATTCTCCTCTGGAGTAGGTGTCAGCCTTGCTGACAGCTAATTACAGAAGCGAAACCAATGCTGGTCTTGGACACCAGCCCAAGACAACAAAAGATGACCCATGACCTACGCTCGGAACTGGAGACATGGAGGCAAACAACTGTGGGGGCCACATTCAGCCGCCATAGAGGGATTGCGAGCATAGTCTGCAGCTCAATCACCCAGACAAAAACTACAGTACCGTGCCTAGCACCTTGGGATCCCAGCCACGAACTGAACTCCGAGGCCCTAACGCAATCCACATGATAAAGGATACAGCTCAGAACCGTCCGCCCACCAGCTCGGAGCTCTAGGCTTGCCGGAGAGCATCCTTCTCCCCGTCTGGGCCCTTCCAGCCTCCTGGCTAAAGCACCATCATGCACCAAACAGCAATGCCTGGCTCTAGCCATTTGTATCCACTACGGCAGGGGTTCTCGAACCGGGGGTGTGACCCCTCAGGGGGTCCCAAGGTAATTACATGGGGGTCACAAGCTATCCGTTCTATGGGGGTCACAGCCCTGAGCCCCCTTTACATTAAATTCCCCCACCCCTGTTTTTAACTTATAAGAGGGGTAATATTCAGAGGTTTGCTGTGTGAAAGGGGTCACCAATACAAGTCGTTTGAAAACCACCGCTCTACAGCAAAGGCTGGAAAAGAGCCATGTTTTAGGAAGTTACTCCTCAGTGTCACGCCCACCCCTTCCAGTTATCGAAAGGCAAAGACTGGGGAGTTTTTAATAAAAGTTCTCTCTTCACCACTGCCACGGTTCGTTTCCCTTTCCCTCACTTTGGGACCGGGAAAGATGCTCAGATCCATAGCGATGAGGACCAGGTGAGTAGAGGGGAATCATAATCCTGACCGTCTCCCATCCTTAGTCCCTGGCCTGAAGGGTTGAACAGTGTAAATCAAAGGCCCGTCTCACACTGCAAGTCAGCGCAGCACTCAGCACCAAGGGGCCTCTGGGAGCTACCTCAGTAGAATAATGAAGATCAGGCCCATAAAAAACAAATAAATCCCGCCCGGTCAGCATCCCCTCCTGGTTCTCAGGCCCTTGCTAATGGCCAGGCTCCTTGCGATCCCAATGCAACATGGAGGTAAAGTTACACTCCCTCGAAATGTAACAGCGACATTCCTGTTCACACTTGTCACTCCGAGGAGTGTGCTCCCAGAACCCTGGGCCCTGAAAGGACAGGCACGGCTGAGCCAAGCCCAGGAACTTCCCTTAACCAGTCACTGGCCGGAGAGACTCAGGGGTCCGACAGGGCTGCGTATGGCCTGAATGAATTCATCCTTGCCTTAGCCACTGTCCCCACAGCCCATTGCTTGCTGGGCTTTGCCTCTCTCACTGCCAGCCCCTCCAGCCCAGGCTGTAGTCACCATGCCACGGTACAAGTGCTTGAACAGACAGGACCCTAGCTACCCGGTCTCGCTTTCCTGGGCTCCTGCCCACACCACCCTGCCCCAAGTCACTCGCCAAGGGGGAAATTCAGAGTAAAGCCCCCAGCCAAGAGCACAGCATAGATTGGCACCCCCCAGAGACAGCCCATCCAAAGATTCATGCCGTACCAGTCTACAAAAAAGCACCAGAAGGCAGCTTAATTCTGTGAGCCCCACAATGCTCAGAGAACTGCCTCGATGTATGTGACAGTGTTTCCCATCGCCCCTTCAGTGCTCCCCCATCCCCGCAGCGTGGGGCAGGAGGAGGAAATCACATTTCCCCGAGTAGGCATTTCAATTAGAGAGCGACAAGGCCTCTGTGCCGGGCCCAGCCCAAAAGGGCAACGCCCGTAGGAGCCTTGGCCCAGCTAACAAGCCCAGGCAGACGTGCAGGTATCGTCCCCTCCAGCAGTTGCCCTTTTCAGGCCTCGCTTCCCAGCGGGAGCCACCTGCAGACAGAGAGGTCAGGACACAAGCACCAACCTTACCAGGAGCTCGCCACTAAGAAGGTGAGGGCGATATGGGAAGGGGACCCTTCCGCCGCCCCCAAACCCCAGGGAGCAGGAACTGATGCCCCCCCCTTCTCTGCCGAGCCACTGGGGGTCACCAGGCGTCATGGGGGAACTGCCCCTTTGGAACTATCCCCCTCCACACAGTCCTTCTGAGCACCCCACTGCTCCTGAGTGGGGCCCCCCTCCCAGCTCACCCCACCGCTCCGGGGTGGGCCCCCCCAGGCTCCCCCCCCCCAGGCTCCCCCACCCCACAGCTCCTGGGTGGGCCCCCA